CTCAAAGAGTGGGCAGAATGTGAACCGACCAGGGCATTTTGGACACTTCATGTAAGTCGGCCAGGGCATTTCAAGTATTTCCAGTAAGCATTTCTACCCTTATATAAAGGAGTAGAGGTGACTCCAAACCCTAACTTTCATTCTCTCCATTCATTATTCAGCTGCTGCTCCTACTGAGCAGAGCTCATCTTCTTCTCTCTCACAGACTTAAGCGTCGGAGGCTCTTCACCGGAAAACACTTTCGGTGTTGAGTTCTTGTAGGCGTTCGCAGCGGTTCACGGGCGACTTGGAGACGACTCAAACAGACCGGAGCTCATTTCCACCGGTTCACCCCAAATCGAGGAAGAGACCCATCAAAGGTCACAATTGTCATTTGACAATAAATGATTATCTTTTTTCCTTACTATAATCATCATTTTTCCACCATTGCTGTCAGATAACAAATTTTAACATGAAGATAATCTTGAGTCATTCAGTCCAAAAATTAAATGGGGCTATATAAAAAATTACACGAGGCTAATGAGTCTATGTATAATTTTTTTTTTAAAAAAAAAATAAGATAAGCAAAAATACATCAATATCAACATCAACATACCCAGTATATTCCCAACAGGTTGGGGTCTGGGGGGTCAGTTGTACGCAGACCTTACCCTTGTAATTATACAAGGAGGCTGTTTCCATAGCGACTCAAGGTGCGTTGCGTCGTTTGATATATTTTTTTTTCAGAAACTTCACTAATAGAAGAAGCACTAGACTTTAATTGAGTCATTTTGATCTAGTCCATTATTAGCACTATGTCAGGAGAATTGTCAACAATGACTCTTCCAGCTCCATGTGCAATGGACATATTAGATAAGCAAAAATAAGGGTAGTAAAAAATTACATGGGGCTGGAGCCCACCCTAGCCTTAGGGTGGCTCCGCACCTGGTGTCGAGTTGTAGGATCAAATTAGTTAGTATCAAATAATTCGTGGCTTTTTTTTATCTTTATTCTAATTACCAACTGATATAGCCATATTAAGATATACCGGTCTAAGTACTTATTGTCCGATTTGAATGACAAGTCGAACCGTCTAAGTATCGACTGGAACGCTCTGAAGTCGACATCCTTAAAGTCAACTATGGGTAAACCGATTATAGTAGCTCGACAGGGCGAGTAGATATGCTATCTAACCCGAGCCGGGTCGTAGAAACAGTTCATACCGGACCTCGTCTTGACACTCGACATCACTGCATGAGAAATAGATCAACGAGAGTTTTCGTCCGTGTTAGAGTCGACACCCGCGAGTCGACTTCCACAAGACGACCATTTAAGTCCTCACTATAGAGGAAGTCGACATCCGCAAGTCGACTTCCCTAAATTTATCTAATCGAAGTCGACTTACTTTGTTAAGAGGACGAGAACATTTCTGGTATAGGTCCTAGAGCCTGCCGACACTTTCATCGACTCCAAGTCGACCTCTATCCTCTCGAGGCCGACTCTTTACACGTCGAGATAGAGAATAGACGACGACTCAAGGTACTCCCTGATATTCATGTTTATTCACCGGGTAAGCAAGAACTTTAATGGATAAGATGAAATCTTAAGCTGACTCAGGCCTGACTAAGGGATGATTATAACGCGAGTAAATCGGACAAACAGGCCGAACGACCAGGGGCATTCTGGGCACTTCAAGACATGTATTTCCCTCTATAAAAGGAGAAGAGGTAACATCAAACTCTAACTTCTACTCTCTCTATTCATTTCCATGTTGCTGTTGCTCTCAGTGAGCAGAGCTTTTTCATCTCTCTCATACTGACTTGAGCGTCGGAGGCTCTACGCCGGAAACACTTCTGGCGTTGAGTTCTTGCAGGTGTTTACGGCGGTCTAGAGACGATTCAGAGGCGGTTCTAACAGATCGGAGCTCATATCCACCGGTTCACTCCAGATTCAGAAGGAGACCCATCAATTACCAATCATTTTAACATTTCATGCACTTAGAATTATAATAAAGAAAGATAAATATTATGAGTTCAATGTCGGTTAATTATCAAACAATGTGAAAATTATAAATTGTTAAAAAAAAGTTATAAGAAAATAGTCGACAACTTAATAAGTATATGTAAGTAATTTGTATGCAAATATCATATGATCATATACATTTACAATATTTTATAAAATTATAAATAATAAATTTTATATAATAAGTAGTGAAGACCTATAAAATAAAATTTAAAAATAACATATTAATTACAGTTAATAAATAAATTTTATAATATTGCTTAATTAAATATGCGTGGAATAGATTTGCATATTGTCTTTAATATATAGTTTAGTAATACATAAAATGGCAAAATATCTATGGTATTATACTCCGTGCATCGCACGGGTATCAACACAAGCAAGTAAGGAGAATAATTTTAGATTACTTATGAAAATAAGTTAAAGAATGACATCCTATTGTGGCAGTAATGCTCTCCTACCCATGGTGGACATATTTTAATATGTCCACTGCTTATGTGGCATGCACACATTGGTGATGTATTTATTTGAACATATTAATATCACCAATGTGTACATTTCACATAAACGATTGACATATTAACATGTGTCCACCGTGAGAAATGGAGCATTACTCCCTATTGTAGTGCCAAATCTACGTACATGGCATTGGACGGCTGGACCCTTTTTAGGATTCCCATTTCAAACTGAAAATTCTATCGTGAGATTCAAAATGATGGGGCCAATTAAAGGATGAAAAATTTAGATAAAGAGTGAATTAAACCTTTTGGTATATAATTAATATGCATCAAATTAATTAAATGCTGTGAACCTGCTGCTGTCTTTTCAATTTTCATCAGTTTAGTTATAATTCCACTTGATGAAAATTGTGAGATCTTTAGCTATAATTGTATTGATGAATTTGAAGGCTGAAGCCACTAAGGTACAATAATACAAAAGGTCATTTCATTCATTCTTCCACCCATTTTGCCACTTCTTTGCAATAATAATCTTCATTCACTTTTTGGCTCTTTCATCTTTTTCTTCTTCTTTCTTTTTTTCAAGTACATAAACTAATTACTTAATAATGTAGGAATTTACTATCACATAATATAAATTCAATAACAATTATCCTAGAACATGCTTTAATTCTAGGAAAATCAACATCGCTCTAGATCTAAAAATTTATTAGAAATACCTGGATCCATTGAGTTTCTTTTGCGGAACACGAACTCGATTGATTGATTGGATCAACTGGTATTATGGTCTTCCTCAACTAAATCGCTTTATTCCTCATATGGGACCGTCGTCCTCGATTCCGATGGGGAGAAAAGAGAACTATGTTTGATTTAGTATATTGGGGACCATAACCAAGAGGGTCTATATATACTTATAGGGTAGGCCACCCATTATCACCTAACCCTAGTAATATTAGGTATCCACTCATTAAGTCCATATCAATTTATGTAGCCCATGAACTCTACTTAATTTAGATCACTTAATTGAGTCCATTAATTAATTGAATAGCTAATATAATATAATTGTATATAATATGTTGCCCATAATTAGATTATACATAAGAAATAAAATATTTCCTAACAAATAATGCACAATAACGTGATGAACATAATTTAATTTCTATGACCAATGTAGAAAAGTTTTTGATGAAGTTCGTAAGTAGTAAACATCGAATTCCAGTTAAGTAGTCTCAATAATAAGAATTTGCAAACTTATAGTAAGATCCCATTTGATGTGTCTTATAAGCGCGCAGTACACATCCAGTTTGAAAGAGTCGAGTCAAGCTCAAACTCAAGATATTTCAAGCTCAACCCCGATCTTTTATTTAGTTTTTATCTGGTAAACTCCCTTAACTGAATAAGTCGATAAAGTAGTTCGAGCTTAGTTTCAATATCAACGAGTTGAACTAAAAGTTTAAAATCATGTTAATAGGGATGGACCAATAGGCTTGCATCAATTTTATTTTTAAAAAGCGTAATATTGATTGGATAATTTAAGGGAAAAAAAAAAGGAGAATATGAAATTCGTGCGTCTAACTGTTTGTCCGTAAATTCAATGGATGGTATTATTTGCTCCCAAGAAAATAGGAAAATAAAAAGACAAAAACGAAAAATAAAAAAGTTGATCAAAAGAGAGTTTTATAATTAGTGGCTAACGCGTCCCGTGGACTGCACGTGCAGCAAATGTGTGCCATTTTTTGGTCGGAAACCCAAAAAAAAAAAAAGGAATTAAATACAGAGGTCAAAATGTTGACTTGACACTCATTCGCTAGCTAAACAGAGTACGACTATCTGACTATCTACCACACCACAGTCCACACTACGCTCTTTTATTGATGTTGACTTTATTCTACTATACCACGTCACCAGTTTCTATATTAACACACACATTTTCTTCTTCTAACATTAAATTATTCACATAAATAGCATTTACTTTAGTGATTTAATTAATTAAGAACCAAATAATACGTCTACAATATAATACATAAATTCAATATATATGTATGTATAAATTTCTTTTTTCCCCAATAAAGATACAAATTCGTGTGATTAATGTTATAATGTATGATATATGGATACGATCATATGAACTAAACTGTTGACTCTATTTGAGAAAGAGCCTAAAAAAAAAGGTTGCAAGACGGAGCAAAGAGAGACCCCAAAACTAAAAACGTTGTTTGATCCAAAATCTCAACCAAAACTAAAAACGTTGTTTGGCGTCCCCACATTATTATATAGTATGTTACATCAATACAAAATCAAACCTTCCCAAAATCTTATTCACTTATCCATCATCATCAATTCATCATCAGAATCTTGAACTTCCCCTGCACAATCCCTTTCCTCACTCCTTCCCAAATCCCACCCATCCATACAAGTATAAAATCCACCTCCAATTTTCCCTATCCATCCAAACACTCCTCACAAATCCAAACACACAACTCAACCTTAAACTTCTTCACTACCATACTCCAAAACAACAACAACCAACAAAAACTAACTATGAAGGTTGCTACTCGGGTAGTAAGCCCGCCCGCTTTAAAAGCCCGGACGGCCCCAAACTTCACTTCCACCCCGAACTCGAGTATCACAAGCTCCTGGAACCCAGACTGCGGCAAATCCAAACCGTCCAAATCCAACCACAACCACTCCCTCACTAGCCAATCCCTACGCGACAAGTGGATGGAGGTCCAGGGCATCCGCAACTGGGAGGGCCTCCTTGACCCCCTCGACAACACCCTTCGGGACGAGATCCTCCGCTACGGCGACTTCGTCGAGGCCGCCTACCGCGCCTTCTTCAACTCAGACGAACCATGCCGCCTGATCCCTCGCGGATACACCATCACGCGCTCCCTCCACGCCACGTGCGGGGCCCGCCTGCCCGACTG